TATAAAAAATAACATTTTCAATAATAGCATCTTACTTTATTTATTTTTCGATAATAGCATCATACAATAATAACATTCTCAATACATATATCAAATACACAATAACATCCTACTTATAACAAAAACACATACTTTCACATACATATATAATATCATCAAATATATATATATATATATATATATATATATATATATATATATATATATATATATTTGATGATATTATATATGTATGTGAAAGTATGTGTTTTTGTTATATATATATATATATATATATATATATTTCACATACATATAACATATATACACTAAATACACATACATTCTCAACACATATATCAAATACATAATAGCATTGAAATACATTTTCACATACATACACCACATACACATTTTCACATATATATACACCACATTGAAATACATATATCAAATACACATATATTTTGCAGACAAAACTGCAAGATTGGTCCCTGTAGAATTCAAAAAACTTTGGATAGGGTCCAAAAACTTTATCACTTGTATAGAAGGTCTAAAATCAAAGTTTTTCTGTGTTTTTGATCCAAAAAACTTGAAAATACGATTATTCCCTTTAAATTTCTTTTTCCTATTTTTTAAATTTATATTAATACATTTTTAGTTTGAAAATAATAATAATAATAAATTAATTAAGCTACCCACCTAGAGGTGGCAATCGTGTCGTGTCGTGTCGGGTTCGTATCATGTCGAAACACTAAACGAGTTGAAAGTGCTTCACCCTAACCCGACCCATTTAATTAACATGTCATGTGGTGTCAACCCGTTTATTTTCGTGTCGAGTTTGTGTCGGGGTTCGAGTTAGGGCTATACCTTGAAATATGTCGTGTCATGTAAGGTTAAAAGATTGAGCATGTTGAAAGAGTTGGAGTTGGGTAGGCGGAGAGGAAAAACTAATAGTTTGGAGGCAGAATAGATGAAGTCATAGCAAGTTCAGATGACAAAATTAAAAGAGTGATAGTTGGGGAGGCGGATGAAAATGTCGCGAGGATGTGAGAGTGGTAAAAGAGAGTGGGTAGTTTGGGAGAGAATGGAAAAACTGAAATTAAGTCTTGATCTAGACGGCTAAGTCATTTCAACATTACAAAACGACTCAATTCGAAGGTTTTCTTTTATTTATGGTTTTGGTTTTGTATCATTCTAGTTTATTTAAATAATTCAAAAAAAATTGCATATAAATAAATGAGTCATTTTCGAGTTGAAATTCTCAACCCTAACCTTACTTGTTTAATTTTCGTGTCGTGTCGTGTCAACCCGTTTATTTAAACGGGTTGAAATATCTTACCCAAACTCGTTTATTCCGTGTCAGGTTTGTGTCGGATTTCGTGTCGTGTCATTTTTTGTCACCTCTATGCCCACCATATCACTCTATTCCCTTTCTCTCTCTCTCTCTCTCTCTCTCTCTCTCTCTCTCTCTTTATATATATATATATATATATATATATACATACATCGATCTATCTATATATCTATCGATCTATCTTTCTCTATCTCTCTCTCCCTCTCTCTCTCTCTCATTCTCTCATCTTCTTCCTTACCTTCATCTGTAGATCAAAAATATCTCACAAATACATACATACATTGGAGAGAAGAAAACCCATAAGTCACCACTTCAACATCGGGGAATTCACAATTTCAGCATCTCGATTCACCATTTCCTCTGTATTTTCTATTCATTTCGGTCCTCTGTATTTTTCTGCTCATCTCGCAGGTAAAACAATTAGCACCGCGTCATTGTACCTGACTTTTCAAACAAGAATCAACTTGATCTTACGAGCCAGGTCTTCTGATTTAAACTACACTTTAGATCGTTTCGAGAAAAATTCATTTTTGTGAGTTCTTGATGTGATATAACTATTTGTTTTTAATCATTCGTTCAATGCCACTTGATTGCATTACCCTCTACATATAATTCAGTCCTCTCTCCAAATTGTGGTTAAAAATCTTCACTCGGTTGTTGGGTTTTCAACATCCGAGTTTGAGGTTTTCTTGTCCGATTCTGAGGAAGAAGATGGTGCTTAGTTGTTTGAGGTTCGTGTTTATATTATGATTATTTAAATTCTTTAACTGAGTTCCATAAAGGTTTTGCCTTTTTTGCAAAAATAATGTGAATTTGTAGCTGCCTGCCAAGTGGTTTTTGAATTGCCTAAATGAGACGTTTTCATTACCCTTCCTGTAAACAGTCATTGTATACTAATTTAATTGTCCTTTTCTTCTTGTTTAAGTTACACCCCTACAAAAGAACTTATTGACATCATGCCTCGTGAAAAGATGAACATTTTATTCTGTGGATGTGTGTGTTTGATTAACAGGGGAAGAAGATGATGGTCGAGAAATAGGTGTCAAAGGCTTTTCGGCGGGAGAGAGAGTTGCAATCTGAGTTTTTTCTTTATTCGAGTTTCGAGTTACAAGTACGCTATGTGCAAGTTGATGTTAATGCTTCACTGATTCTTGTTCCAACTTT